GCGCGCGTATATATAGTGAAGATTTTCCTCTCATTTGTATTCGTGGCGTTTAGTGTATTGTACTTTATTGTATTGTTCTATCTTTGGTGCGAATAAATATTTGGAGTAAGAAATAGACTCATCACATTGAGATATCCTCATTCTGCTTTCCAGTTATATCTTGATTTCGTTTCCTGCAATACGGCGAAACTTGGTTTTATTATTTTTTTTATCAAATTTTCTAAGAGTTTTATTGATAAAACTACATATCGAAATAGAACAAAAAAGTTTCACTTAATATCATTCTAGCTTGTCATTTCCAATATGCTTTAAAATAAAATAAATTATCATAACCCAAGTTATAAATAACGTAACAAATTCACATATTAGCACTATATAAAACTCTTGGACTTTCATTGCAACCAGCCCAGACATCACGAAGGAAATTTTTCCAGTCAACGATAGTAGACTCACTCGCAAATTTGCAATGTCAACGAAGAAAGTCATGCGTATCGATTCTTTTATCAGTAAAACATTAGATCCAATATCTGTTGTATTTCTAATCTGGATTTGAAGAAAAATGTTTCATTACGGATCGAACGAGTTAATCTACATTCTTTTACACGGCAACGCCAGTGATAACCTAAAAAGTACGATTAAATGTGTCAAGAACATCTGGAAATGTTTAATACCACTGTTTACCATCGATAATATTCGCACATTGTCCTATGTACCAATCATTGTGACCATTGTAACACGGTACACTTGGTCGGTAGGGTATCAGTCCAAGTGATTGACAGAATGCTATTGTGTCCTCCAACGTCGAATTGCATATGTTCCATTCACGTAGTGTCATGTCGTCAACTGGTGGTAGTGGATAATATGCCATTTTGAAATCGAGAGTGCGGTGTGTTCTTCTTGCATGGTACTATTTATATCAGTTTCATTATCAGCTCAAATGATATTTTCGTATAATATTCGAACATAATTTGGTGATGTTTTGGAAGGTAACCATTCTGTACCTTTCCTTAATTAATTGATCCTTTAATAATCCTTTGACTGATCCTTTATTAATCCAATAATTATTTATCATTTGTTCGTTTTTCGTAATCTGTTATACATCTACATTTTTGTGATATCAAATTCTCTTTTAAAGTATACGTGTTTTCAATACTCTTCAGACCCTAACCAGTTAATGCGACTATAACCAATAACATGACCACTAATTCGACCACGATGCAGGGCGACGAAATTTTGTAACATTGCAGATGTCTGAAATCTAAAAGAAAACTTTGTTCAGTTCTAATAGAAAAACTCCCATTTGCAGTTAACTTGTTCTAACGTTATCCTAGCGCAGCTTCAAGACACTGTACTGTTTCATAGTTATACAGGGTGCGTAAAAATGTTTTTCCAGGGGGGTAACGCTATAATTACGAATAGGGTAAGTAATGAATTTTATACCAGATGAAAGCCCGTCGAAAACGGGATTCATTGATGCTAAATAGTAAGTTTT